AGTCAACACCTGGAATTACATACAGGTATACGTCTACAGAACAAAACCACCGGAGATAAAGCTGAATGGGGAGTTGCTCAGCACCGGTGGAACGGGAGTATGTGAAATTGGGCACAACAGCCCGGCGCCGGTGACTGGGCTCCTCTATCCGAGGATTGTGATTGGACAGAATATTAACCTTTGTGTCACAGATATCGCCGTGGCCGAGGAAGAACCCGATGCCACCGGCGGCCAGATGCCAGAAATAAACCTGCTGCAGACTTGTTACGAGGACACGGACTTTGTGTTCAGCTTGGAAGGCAGTGAACCAAATTTCTTGAATGTGCCGGAGATGGCGTCGCTACTGTCCAGCTTCAATAGCTCCCTGCCCGAGCGTCCAGGGACAGGGTGTGTGACCGGTCCGGACAGCAGATGTGAAATGTTTACGATTTCGTTTTGGCTGAAGATTGCTGGTAGAGACGGGACGCACCATGAGCTTCATACTTCTGAGGTAAGCCTTTCGGAATGAAGTACGCATGTCTGCTAACTTGTCCACGCATTTATATTCCAAACATGCAGACTCTGAATGATCAAGAATATGCGAGGCCCAGGTAACTGAATAGAAGAAGGTAAGACGTTCTCTGGGACCAGGGGTTTATTTTGTCCGACGTTTCGAACCCTCCCGTGAGCTCATTGTCAAGGAGTGAAAAATGTACAGCTCACAGTTTATTTAACTTGGTTCTGCCGGGAGTGACCCCTGCCCTTGATCTGTTCGAGCAACGCAAGGTAAGCATCAGGAAGCTCGATATGCCTGGTAATTAAATCTGCTCGTGAATGCCATGCTTCCTGCAGCAGGCATGAAGTTTGGTCGTCTGACTGACCCAGTATTCGCACATGTTCGAAGTCGAAACCGTTCCCTGGCGTGAATGTGTGGGTGGCTACCAGGGAAAGCTTGTCCTAACGTCGCACAGCGAGTTCATGCTGTTGCATTCTCGTGAGAACCCGTTTGCCGGTTTCACCAATATTTTTCACTCCTTGACAATGAGCTCGCGGGAGGGTTCGAAAAATCGGACAAATAAACCCCTGGTCCCAGAAAACATACAGACTTTGTACTTAACTTTGCATGCTTATGAGGTTGTCGAAAGAAGGGATAGTCGACTACAGAACGTGCTCCAAGTCAGAAGACAGTGAGACCAATTAGGTAGGAGAGTGTACTGTAACAAAAGGAGCTGACAAAGGGCTCTGCAGAAACAAGCTGCTTACGATATTATAATCACGGAGGATAGACGGAATTTTTACCGTCATGAATATACAAAGCTGGTACCCGAAACCGTCATCTCACCTCCGATTTATATATATGTTCATATCAAAGTAATGCTTTCAGTCAAGTGCAGTCAAGTGCTGCATGACCCAACAGCAAGGGGTTTGGCTTCTCTGTGGGTCCCCAATAATGTTTTATGCGCCACTGTGGAACCGAATACCTTGCTGTTGCTTCATGCAGCGGCAGAAATGTCGCCGAGGCATGTGTTTGGGTCCTTTAACTAATACGCATGTCGAGAGTACGGTATGCCATCGGTGCCATACATAAAATTCAAAATTATA